GAAATTTTACTCTCTAAAGTGGAACAAGTTTATAAAACCTGGTAGAGGAGGAAAATAAAGTAGTCAAAAGGTAACCCCATAGTCCAGGGTTTTAGGCCCGTCGGCTCAACTCGGGGAGGCTGCCGACGTCCCTTGCAGGAGGTACTCGCCACAAAGTTGTCCAAGTGATGGGTCGGCTAGTATGCAGAACGCCTCCACCTGTGAGTGTGCTCTGGGCAACCGTCCCAGACGCCGGGCACAGCAGGACTAGCTATTCTGTTCGGAGGTGTCCGATCATCACCCGAAACTTTGTGTACAAGGTTTATGTCAGGGAGAACGTCCAGCAAGGGTGAGATGAGTAGGAGTACTCCGCACTTGAGTTTGGCAAGAAACCGCGCCCTTACGGTGACCGCCACCACAGGACATGGGTTCCTGAAGCAAAACCAGAGGGTCAGTCACATGGACAAGGCAAAGGCCAAAATGTTAGTACAAGTCAGGTCAGTTTCAAAACATAACAACGAAATCATAGCACCAGGCGAGACAGACGTCGGACCCAAGGCAGACTCACATTTCTGGACGGGAGACATATCGCTGTAGCAAAACAGTTCAATCGACTATAATATAAGAAGCCCTTGTATTTGTCCGGGCCAAGCATGTTGAATAAATCCGGAATTTTGCAATGATCACAGACCTCATGATACACATCCAACTTACAACAAAGTATGACCTGCTAGTACAGGTCCGATCCTAGCCGCTCAATCCACAAGAGCAGAGAGCTAGCAAGACCGGGACGTGTGTTATAAGCTTCCCCCACAACAACCCCTATTCCAACCAGATGAGTAGAACCGGACTGAATCCGCCCAAACAGGCAGCACGAATCATAATAGAACCATTTTGAACCGTGTTTAGCTAGGGTTTCTTTGGGGCAACAGCTCCTCTTTCACTTTGCCTCGCACGTACTGCCCACGTTGATGGGGTGTGTGTGTGTGTGTGTGTGTGTGTGTGTGTGTGTGTGTGTGTGTTCTAAACTGTCACCACCATAACCCCTTTTGTGTGTGTGTGTGTGTGTGTGTGTGTGTGTGTGTGTGTGTGTGTGTGTGTGTTCTAAACTGTCACCACCATAACCCCTTTTTCCACCCAGATGAGTAGATCCAAAATTGAAACAGCTTTACCTCTATAGCAAACAACATGAAAAGCCCACAACCGCTGCGGTAAACTGTCACCGCAACAACCCCTTTTCCACCCAGGTAGTTAAATCCAAAATTATAACAGTTTTACCTCAGAGCTGTCTATAGCAGACAGCATGACGTAACCTGAAACTGTTATATTGCCTTGTGCAGCTCTTTCTTCACTTTCCTTACTTAGGCTTTTTTTTGGTTTCTCTTTTATTTCTTTCTGTAGCTCCCCTTTTACTGTGCCTCTTGTGTACAAGGCTTGCCACGTTGATTGTGGTTGCGCACAAGCTGCCTACATCCCCGTGTGCCATAACGGCCCACTACATGCTAAAAGGAGACAGAGTAAAGGGGTAGGTTTTTTCTTTTTTCTTTTCTTTTTTGCAAAGGAGACAGAGTAAAGGGGTAGGTTTTTTCTTTTTTCTTTTCTTTTTTGCAAAAAAAGCCCTTGTGTGACGGGGCTGAGGCAGAGTAGCCAGGTCGGGGAAGAGAGAGGGAGGGAGTGAGAGCACACCCACACACACTCACTCAACTCGACACGGACTCGACACGACTCGATGGACACGGACACAAAGTGGCGAAGTGGCAAAGTCGCAAAGTCGGAATCTTGGTTCCGTACACAATGTCGCAGCAGGTCACACTGAAGCACAAGCACTGAGGCAAAACTGAGTCCCCGAACTCAGCTTGAGTCCGGTCTTAAGTACCGGACTCGAGTTGAGTCCGAGGGCAAAAGTGCAATTTGCCTCGGGGCTGAACTGAAAATCGAAGGTCTGAGCCGGGGCGCCAGAATGCCGGATGGCGCCAAGTACGAAATCCGAAAGTGGCAGAGGCGGGATTTGAGAACGGGCGCCAACTGCAGAGGGCGCCAACAGTCAGGAACCGGAGATCAGAAACTCCAAAAAAAAAAAAAAAAATAGCAGCCTGGCGGGTGGTACACCGCGGACCAGGGATCGAGCCCTGGCTGAGTCCGTAACACCTTGTGTGAGCCCTCTATCCCGGCGGTGGTAAGAGAACCGTCAGAATTGAGGTCTTATCTGCCGGGCTGCTTCATCTATTGGTGGGGAGCGGCACCTGCTGGAAACCGGGTCCAGCGTCCCATTGGTACATCTTGCAACACACAGGCTTCCAATCGTTGTTCCCAGGGCTGTGGTCGTTTCACTTGTCAGTCCGGGGCTCCGTTGTCCCATGGAGCTGCCAGTATCACCCATCCCATCTTGGAGCGCCCCTTGTCTATTTGCTCAGCCCTATTCAGCAGCCCCCCTGTTCATTATTACAACGCCTGTGCCTTTAAACCCTTTAAACCTTATACCCTCTCAAAACCCATGCATGCCACATTATTGATCCTTAAAGCGCGCAGCAACAGAGAGCAGTACAATGAGAGGGGTATATTTTTTTATGTTCTCTTTATGATGCTCTTATTCACGGAGGAGGGAGGAGGGAGAAAGGGAAGGGGAGGCAGATAGGGGGAAGCAGAAACAGTACAGGGGAAAAAAACCGAACTTCACAGGAGTTCTCGGTATTCACCAGCAGAACAGACTATCTATAAAATAGCACACAGAAGACCAGTCAGTGTTTGGGTTGCCGATGATAAATGGCCACCCCTGCAGACCGGCCAGGACCGGTTTGGTGTGGACTGTGAAAACACTGCATCCCGTCCACACAGTTGAAGTTGCTGCAATCAAAAGGTGCGGCAAGCATTGCCTTTTCAGCCCGTCTACAAATAGGACGTACCATGGGCCTTCAGAGGTGGGGTCAGGCAACGTTGATCTCAGGTTGGATGGATGGATGGGCAGGCCTAGTGGCGTGAATGATCACATAGTTGGTTACCGTAGGGCTTGGTTTGGGGGGGGGCGCAGGGGCCAGAGGTGGGATAGTCGAAGGGGGGCAGGCAATGTTGATCTCAGTTTGGACGGATGGATGGGTAGGCCTAGTAGAGTGAATGATCACATAGTTTGTTACCTTAGGGCCTTGCTTGAGGGGGGGGGCAGGGGCCGGAGGTGGGATAGTCGAAGGGGGGCACCATAGTGGAGGGATTGTCTGCCTCCCATGACAAATATAGACCAGAGTGGGCCCAGTTGATGACAGAGGTTTGGGGGCGGATGGTGGCCGTGTCCCTACTAATGACTGAGAAACTGGAGCAACTCTGGGTGATGACGGAAACAACTACTACAACGGCCAGAGAGGTCTAGTTGATGACTGAGGTATGGGGATGGATGGGAGGTCAATATACCTTGTGATGACGGAGTCTAGAGTA